AAAGAAGTTTAAAAAATTTTTCTCAAAATTAAGGAAGCCGCCGAGCGAAGACTCCAGTACAGATCACAAACGTGTACTTACTTCATCCGGTTTTCCCTCGACAATTTATTCTCCTGGGTTAAGCTCAACGGTGGCTGGTAAACCGGCACGTTATGTTAAAATTCAAATTCCTCAGATGCCGGCCAAAGAGGAAAACCGGGAACAGAATATTTTTGATCAGGTCGAACAGGCGAGACATGCTCGTCATATGTCTAGGGCAAGTTTATCCGGATCTACACGTAGTGCACAAACGCCAAACAGAACGACTTTTTCTGTTAACGGGGGAATGCAAAGTCCACTTTCGAATACAGGGTTTGATGATAATCAATTGCTTCCTGTAACGGAGGACACTTCGATCGTTAATAATGGCAATCAGAAGATACCACCAACTTCTGAGAAAACACCTGATAAAGTTTTACAGAAAAAGAGATCGCAGACACAAATACAACGGGAGCAAAATACTCGACAGCAAAATAATACTTCACAAACTCCGACCGAGGATAAACTGCAATCTACTCCCTCGGAATCAAAAGCGTATAAAACATCAAGTGTACAAAATGCCTACAATGAAACCCCTTCAAAGAAAGAACCCACGCCTACGATTCATGCACCTTCAAGGAAAGAACTCACACCCACAAGTCATACACCTTCAAAGAAAGAACTCACGCCCACGGGTCATGTACCTTTAAAGAAAGAATTCACGCCTACAGGTCATGCACCTTCAAAGAAAGAATTCACGCCTACAGGTCATGCACCTTCAAAGAAAGAATTCACGCCTACAGGTCATGCACCTTCAAAGAAAGAATTCACGCCTACAAGTAATGTACCTTTAAAGAAAGAACCTACGCCTACAAATCATGCACCAGTCGCATCAATTATAAGTAGACAACTATCGGAGAATTCCGAAGAATCTGTCGAGAAATTCGATAGTTTCATGGGAGACATAATTTCTACAGAATTGGAATGCGAAGATGAAGTGCTTGAACAGGAAATTCTTGTCGAAGATTCCGAAGAGGAGGAAAGAGAGGAGGCACTTGTTGCAGAATGGTTGTTGGGTACTGGACTCATCTTTAAGAGTGCCATGACATATGTGGATATTGTGCAGGTTTATGAAGAAAATTTCGACGCGCAAAATTCTGAATATTATGACGAAGATGATACTGAATTTATGGAAGCTCAAGAAAACAATATTGATGTTTGTTATCGAGAGCCATTAGCTGCAAGTGGGTGCTTAACCGATGAATAAACATCTGGATTTATTTATTTTTGGATAATTTTTATTGTCCAAGTTGTCTATTATGTATTTTATTTTATTCGAACGGAAAGAGATTTGGGGTGCTTTATTTGTAGATTAAATTGTATTTAAGTGTTTGAGATTATCTATTTATTTATCCATTATTTATCATTAGAAATAAGATAGTGTTAAATTTAAAAAAAAACTTCTCAAAAATTATAGGGATATTTAATCATAAGCATTATAACATCATTATATTTCCAAATTTACACTAATTTTATATCACTGAATTCTATTATACACCTCGATAATGTCTTTGGATTCGGTATTGAAAACTTTAATCTTACATTCAACATAGAGCATTAATTATCCATAAACAAGCATAATTGATCTTTCGATTAACACAGTAACAAAAGAGTACGATGATGGCTCGATTGTAATATAATGTAATAATACAAATCTATACAATATTACTATTGTGTTTATTATCTTGAATTCTAAATAAATGGTTAGACAAAAATATCGAACTTTAAAAATAAATGGGTATATTATTTTATTTAGTAAATTCGTTTTGAAAGTATTATAGCATAAGCTTTGTTTAGCTGCTTTTCAAATAAAAATTAACGATTTTATTTAAAACATTAATTTGGTGTTTAAAAACTTTTATTCAATAATATCAAATATACTGTATATACTGTATATATATACTGTACATTAATATTTGGGTAATTATTTCGAAGCCTACATTATGTGTGTATTGTTTAAAAGTAGGGTCCGAAAAAAATCATATCTAGCATTTTTGTCGTCTTCAAAAATAATTACCCATTTATTTAAAAAAAATTTTTTTATTATATATACATTATTTGATAGATTAAAATAATACATTAAAGCTTAATCAATTATAAAATAGAAAATTAATTGGGTTCTTTTACAGCAAAATCATGCTTAAATATATAAAATGTATAGACTCTAAGCATGGTTTTGCTGTGAAAGAACCCATTAATAATTTATATGATAAACTTCTTTAAATGTATCTACAATGTTTCTCTCTTTAAATATATTGTATTTTTGGATTCAGTTCGTTATAAAAACACTTAATAAAATCATTCTTTCTAAATACACATTCTTTTTAAATGTATGTTTTATATTTTTTTAATTATATTTCCACTTTAGAAGGTAATAAGTATGTAAAAATTATATAATTTTATTTATATACAATAATTTAAATTAATAATTTAAAACCAGGTAACGGAAGGTTCGAATCAACAATAAAGCAAACTTAATATTATAAGGACACTTAATTTGCACAAAATCAGTCAATCTGATTGGTACGAATCATATAATGACAGACAAAAACGATGGGTTTACCTGGAATTGAAGTGTACTACGCTTCGAACAAAAAAAAAAATTATTTGAATTAACTTTCTTTTTATTCAAGCTATAAAGTAAAAAATATAAAAAATATGGATTGATAATTTGAAATGCATACAATACAAATCTGGTTTCTTATATATTATGCATAATGCATTTAATAATTACTAACCACATCGGCAAATAAATGTTTCTATTATTTGTATAAAATTTATGTATGTTTCCCATCATATAACTATGGAAATTCTTAATTATCCGTTATCAAGAATCGACCCATCGGTAATTTCAACTCATTCATCATTCATTCTCTATCGAAGTGAAAAGAATTGTGTTCTTTGTTTATTCTAGATTTCAGAAAGGCTTATTTATTCTTTAATTTGTACAGGATTATGCAAAAAAATAAAATGCGTTACAGAAGAGTAACACGTAACCGAGAAATTATGGCAAAAATTTTTTTTTTAAAAAAAGATTGCAGTCAAATTTTATCAAACCGATTGGTTAACTTATTGTATTTATGGTAATAACTTTTAAAGAGCAGTACCGTAAGTCGCGGTATAGTTAGGGGTGTTAATAAAGCAGCATAATCTGGTATTACTAAGTTATACATTTTGTTAAAAAAAATAATGTCAAAATACAAAGGGTGCCCATATTATTGTGGACACTTTTTATTATACAATAAAAAAAAATTTTAATAAAAAAAAATATTTATTATACTAAATAAATATTTTTATAATAAGTTAAAGTATATTGTATTTAAATTTTA